TGTGACGATGGCTTCGACGCGCAGCGCAAGTGCCAGTGCGACCCCCTCTGCGTGTACTACCAGAGCTGCTGCAGCGACTACTCCACCGTCTGCAAAGCCAAAGGTACCGGCCCCATGGCCACCTTCCCACCTGGGGCAGGGAGTGCTGGGGCAGCCACAGGTGCCCGACGCTGCGGGGACTCGGAGGGGTCTGTGCTAAATCAGCTCTGCACCCACCCGTGTCCACAGGGTGAAGTCAGCACCGCCTCTGCGTGTACTACCAGAGCTGCTGCAGCGACTACTCCACCGTCTGCAAAGCCAAAGGTACCGGCCCCATGGCCACCTTCCCACCTGGGGCAGGGAGTGCTGGGGCAGCCACAGGTGCCCGACGCTGCGGGGACTCGGAGGGGTCTGTGCTAAATCAGCTCTGCACCCACCCGTGTCCACAGGGTGAAGTCAGCACCGGGATTTGGTGCTTGAGGCGCTGTAGTAGCAGGGTTTTTTGGCAGCTGGCTCACTGCTGTCCTCAGCATGGGGTCTGTGCAAATCCACATTGCCTTGGAGCAAGCGGCTCCCACACCCAGACCCCATGGGAGACACCCAGGGCTTCCCGTGACCTACCTGCTCCCTCCTGCAGTGACCCGTGGAGACGTGTTCGCCTTGCCAGAGGATGACTACGTCGACTACAACCTCACCGTCGACCTGGGCACCGAGGCAGCCCCCACAGAACTGGTGACGCTGGAGCCCACGCTGGAGCCCACATTGGGCCCCGAGGAAACGCTGCCAGAGGTGCCTGTCACCACACCAGATTGGTCTGAGGACAGTGCGCCCGAGTGGCTGTGCAGCAGGAAACCTTTTGATGCCTTCACTGACCTGAAGAACGGTTCCCTTTATGCTTTCCGAGGTACCTCGGGGACCCTTCCCAGGCACGTGGGTCACGCTGCCATGTTGTCACCCTGTGCTGGGGGCTGTGGCCCCTCCCGCAGCTCCCACCTCCCCTGTCTCCCCAGGGAAGTACTTCTATGAGCTGGACAAGACAAGCGTGCGGCCTGGCTACCCCAAACTCATCAGTGATGTCTGGGGCATCGAGGGTCCCATCGACGCAGCCTTCACACGCATCAACTGCCAGGGCAAGACTTACCTCTTCAAGGTGAGCAAGAACCTGGCTGCAGAGCTGGAGGTGCTCGTGGGGCAGCCAGCACAGCCACCCAGCCCATTCTGTCCCCACACACAGTGGCTGCCAGATATCCCCAAATCCCTGCGGCTGTCCAGGGCCCAGGGCCACCTCAGCCTCACTATGGCACTTCCTAGCATCCGCTCGCTCCCCTCGGCAGGTCTGTGCCTGGGGGATGCTGCTCCCAGCCCCCTGAACACTCCTCTCTCTTGCACCCCCCAGGGCAGCCAGTATGGGGCCCTGGACGCCGGGTACCCACGCAACATTTCCGAGGGCTTTGAAGGCATCCCGGACAACGTCGACGCGGCTTTCGCCCTCCCCGCGCACAGCGTGCACGGCAACGAGAGAGTCTACTTCTTCAAGGGTAGGGGGTGCAGCCCCCCACTCCTGGGCACAGCCTGCCACCAGTGGCCGTGGGCAGGACACCCCTCTAGCCACCGCTCC